TGCCTGAAAACAAATAAATCTTTCACATAATTTTTTGCCCCTGTTTCGCGACACCATACCCAATAAGAAGGTAAAGCCTCGCCCATAAAATTTATAGGCGAAGTGAGCACTTTTCAAATAAAAAAAAAATGGGAAAATTTCATACAGAACCCTAATTCTCTATCTTGTTTTATGGTAGACTTTCATTCTATTTTTCTTTCAAGCAGCAGCATAAAAAATTATCTAAGGATTTCACCGTACTCCTTCACTTATTCGCTTTTGACTATAAAAATTAGCCCCAACAAATTTTTTTATACCATTTCAATTAAAAAACATTCCAAAAACATTTCAAAAACTTTTTTAACCCACCCCATTATATCTTTTAACCCAAAAAAGTTTCAAAAATATTTTTTTATTATATATTTGACCTTTTTAGCCCCTCAATGCCACATTGAGGGCTCCTTATTTCTCTATCACATTGGGTTGAAATGGTATAAAAATGTTAGTTGGGGCTAAGTTTTATAGTCAAAAGTTAATAAATGAAGGAGATAAGAGATGAGGGGGTATGGTGAAATCCTTACATATATTTTTGTGCTGCTTCAAAGAAAAATAAGAGGGTCTACCATAATATAAGATAGAGAATTAGGGTTCTGTATAAAATTTTCCCAAAAAATAATTGTCTATAAAGAGATCATTTATTATATGTACATGGATGTCATAATCATTATTGTCCTTTAAATTTCAAAATTGGCAGTTATAAGAGTATCATTAAATAAACACAAAGTTAAAAAAAAAAAATGTTCTTAGGCTTCATGGCTCACCTCAAGTACAAGTGAGAATAATTGTGACTTCCATGTATAAAAGATAAACAATCCCATGAAAAAATAAAAAAGTACAAGTTGAACAAAGTTATTTCGTTTTTATTTTTAAGAAAATTACAAATAACCCCAAAGACTAGACTTTCTATGCAACTTACCCCCTCAACCAAATTTGTTTTCTCACTTTCACCCCCAAAATACACTTTTCTAGCAGACAACCCCCAAAGTAAAAAAAAAAGTACGTTTTTTTGACAGAAATACTTTTTTTTTGCCCCCCCAAAATTCATGTTTTTGATATTGCCGGACCACACTTTGGGCCTGTTGCCGGACCGTTCTTTATACTGCCGAACTGCCACTGTTATTTACCAGACCGACATTATATTACCGGACCGCCCTAAGAATATGTCGGACCGCCTTTTCATGGGAAAGAGGAGAGAGACGCGTGGGTAAAAGTAAAAGGGGGTATTTGCTAAGAAAAAGTATTTTGGGATAAAAAGTGAGAAAAAAAGTTTGGTTGGGGGTAACTTGCATAGAAAGTCTAATCTTGGTGGTTATTTGTAATTTTCATTTATTTATATAAACCGTTTTGGCAAGTATAACATTATTTCTAACATTAAAAGTAAGAAAAAAGTTTATATAATGATGCTACCTTATAATACAGAACTAGGGATGCCCCTCAAAAATCCATAGGAAAAAGTAGTTTTGATGTTGAAAAACCCTTTGATTGATCCATCGAGATGTATGAGCATGAAAAATAAAAAGATTTTAAGTCTAAGAGAAATAGTGCATTTTACAACATATTATCTACACCATCCATTTTCAACATTTTCATATGTTTATAGATCTACTTGATTTTAATCATTTTTAAAATTAAAAATTTAATAATTAGATATAAAAATAGATTTTGAGATAATCCTAATAACATTTCACACCAAAATTATATACTAAGTAAAATTTGAAGGTGCAGCTTACCGGTACACCTACGGAGGCATCCACTAATTTGGAAATTTCCGAGGTAGTTCATTGAAATGCAATCAAACCTCAATGCATCACTATCAGTAATGACATCAGCCCCGGCAAATAATGAAAACATCACGTGGGAGGATATTTTTAATGGATTTACACTAGAGGGAAAGGTTATTTTATTGCTTCAAATTTATTTTTGTGAGATGTCAACACATTTACTATAAAAAGGAAACATGAGCTAATGAAATGAGTTGTGCTGAACGAATGTTCTTTCTATTTGGCTTCGCATCTTTTTGGGTTGGTTAACTAACTTTAAAAGTCTATTTGCCTTTTCAAACTCTTTCCAAAAAATAACACTTGTCGACAAGAACCAATAATTTCTAAAAATAAATTTAAAAAAGTGTATTGTGCAACAGGGAACGTAATTTTACATTTGTGTCCCCTAACGCACTAAGCATCCAGAAGCAAAAAAAAAAGCGGTGCTCCCACAAAGAACTATAACGAATGGTTAAGAAATGTTGTTGAAAATAAATTTTTTGTCCATTAGTCTTGTTCATCAGATTTTAAATCGGGTGGTTGTAAATATGTCATTGATTTGATTCAAAGTTAAAAAAAAAAATTATGAAACTTTATACCACAACTCAAGCCATCCGATTTGATATCTAATATCTAGGAGTTATTGTGACCTTTTTATAACAATAGTAAATAGTTTCTAGTATAAACCTCATTGTAACAATGATAAATTGTCTCATAGTATACAATCCCTTTTAGGAAAAATAGAATTTCTAGTATACACCTCATTGTAACAATAGTATACAACCCTTCAGTAAAAATAGAGGATTCACTTAACCCCATGGTCCAATCTGACGCTCCAAAAAAAGGTTTTCTTTGGTAGCTCATGAGATTGGTAATGAGTTGGATGGCCAGGCCATGAAATACTAAGTGTTAGGCTGCCAGACTACAAAATATTGCTTAAGGGTTAGACCACCATAGTTGAGCCAGGTTGGCCAGGAGGGCTCGGGCTACAGCCTGCCATCCCAGCTTTGTTTTATTTTTTCTTTTCTTTTTGGAATAAATTTATACAAAGACGGGGCCATAAACAATCAAATTAAGGCGCACCCTCAAAAAATATACAAAAAGTGGTTGTTAGGATGCTTAAAAACCTCAATTTGATCATCTCGACCACAAGATTAGAAAAAATAATTTTCAAGTGTTGGAAATAGTGCATCTTGTAATTGTATTATCTAGACCATCAATTATCAAAATTTTAAGTGTTCATAGATCTGCTCGATCTACACTATCTTTTTAATATTTAAATATTAGAAGAAGGCTTGATAGGGCTATGGCCCTACCAAAATAAGTAAAGCCTCACCTCATACCTCATCAAAAGCTACAATTCAAGTATTGGAAAACCTTTATATTGATCATTTCAGCTTGAGCGTTACACTGTGAAAATAATTAGGATTTCAAGCTCTAAAAATAATATATATTGTAATAAATTATCTAGACCATTCATTTCACCCTAAAAATAATTGTTCAAAGATCCACAAGATCTATACCATCTTTTGAGTTTCAAAATTTGTCATCGGTGTTGAAAATTGATTTTAGAGCCATTACTGGGATTTATGTTGCCGAAAGTATTTTATGGACATGATTTGACTTGATGCTTTATTTTGTTTTCATAAAACCTAGGCCTTGTAGAAACCTCAACCTTAACTTTTATAATTAAATTTGACAATAAATTTTCAAATCATCATTTAAATTTATGTTATGTTGCTAAAACAATATATTTGGACCCTATTTCAAGGTGCGCCTTATTTTGATTGTTTAGAGCATTAGCCTTATATAAATTACACCCTTTATTTTTTAATCAATTAGGCCCTGCCTAGCTGCTTTTTTAATCAATTAGGCCCTGCCTAGCTGAGACTGAGCTAAGGCCACGGGCCATAAACCTCTTGCCTGATTCAGGCCAAGCCCAAGCCAACCCTATGGGACCCAACTAAGTTGGAACCATGCTGGCTTAGCCTAGGCCCGGCCACTTGCCAGTCCCCCTAGTTCGGGGCCACGAGCGCATTCCCAAGAATATCAAAAGATAAGCTATTTGTGGATGGCTGGCCAATTTAGCAGCTTGAACAAATTTCACTCTTCAACGGTTGTAGGAATAATTGGCACCTCCACTAAAATTTGTTGCATCCAAACAGGGCTATCGATTGTGTTTCCAGTTGTGGGAGGTCAATTTCCACTTACTGCATGTAGGGCCATAATTTGCATTTACTTCATGTAGGACCATGCCTGTCCCACAAAGATAACACGGGCAGGCCATTGCCATTCTTTCCAAAGCACAGCTTCAAATAAAAAAGAGAGCTATTGGGGTGGAAATGTTATTTGTTGCTATGTTGGTCTTTGTGGATCTGCGACCGCTAATCAGGTCTTTGCGGATCTGGCCACTGTCATGTTTTTGTCATGCAATGCAAGTCCTTGTGGATATGATATGCCATGCTAATCAGGATAACATGGCCTCTTTGTGGCAATGGCAATGGCAATGGCAATGCTTGAAGTTGGTTTATGAGAGATTGGTAGGGCAGGGCAGCTTTTTATGGTAAGGAAAAAGTTTACATAGAGCCCAAACTCTATCCAAACAATCCAATTAGAGCCCACCTCACCTCAAAAATTAGGTTTTGATTTGATGCCTAAATATCTTCAAATTCATCATTCAACATCAAGATACATGGACATAAGAAGGAAAAAAAAAAATTGGAATTCAAGTTTTAGAAATAATTCATCTTTTGGACCATCAATTTTCATAGCTTGATCTACACTATTTTTTAAGCTTTAAATTTTATATTTAAAGATGAAAATATATTTTAAAGATATCACAAAAATTTCCAGTATTAAAACCACTATCATCGACACCATTTGAAGATAGGATATACTTTGATCCTTTAGGGCCTCGGCTCTATACAAACCGCACCCTTCCATTCAATATTGTAAGAAGGAATAACGGTTGCCCTGGCAGCAACGCCATTGTTGACTGCAAATTTGTGGATATGGCAAATAATATGAGACTTTCCGGCGAAAAGGGGTGTTTCTCTTTCTTCTTTGGTTATTTCTAATGATGTAAACATCTTCCTTTGTTTGTATTCCCCTTGTGTTTGTATCAATGTGATTGCAATAATAAAACTCTCGAATATTAAGAAAATAATAATAATAAAAAAAGAGAGACCAACCTACCAAATATAGTCTAAAAGCTGAATTTCAATAAGTATTAATCTCAAAATGAGAATAAAAAATTACAAGAGAGGTGATTAGGGGTGACTGAGATGATATAGAGCCTAAAAGGTGAATTTCAATAAGTATTAATCTCAAAATGAGAATAAAAAATTACAAGAGAGGTGATTAGGAGTGACTGAGATGATAAGTGTGATGGACCTATGTACCCAAATCACCTTTTGTGAATATATGTCTTATAACTTGCTTTTTACAATATAATTTTTCTTGTGTGTCTGAATCCCCAAGGCCTAATTTTAACAACCCCATTTCTAACAGCAAGTGTTCTAAGACAGAGAGGCCATGATCTTAGCTCCAAACCTGAAGAATTTGGTGAGAAAAATTCCATCATTTTATGTATCTATGAAATGGAAGTGACCGTTTTTTAAATTAAAATCTATGAGCAAGGTTCAAAATCTAGACAGAGAGACGCCATGGTTTAAAAACCCTAGAGAGAGAATGTGCCATGGCCTAAAAATCTGATAGAAAGATGCTTAAAAGAGAACCAATGATTTACCATCTAAACCTAATTTCAAGCCTAAACTTTAGAGAGGGAGAGAGAGAGAGAGAGAGAGAGGAGGTGAAGGAAGGAGGGCAAGAATGGGAGTCAACGAGGCTTAACCCTAAAATATTAGAGAGGAGATTAACCAAATGATTATCTAAGCCTAATGGACTCTATTCTATAGAGAGAGAGCTCTGTTTTAGAGAGGGGCTCTATTTTAGAGAGAGAGTAAAGAACGAATGTATGGCTAATCAAGAGCATTAGGCCCAGAACAAGCCTTCTTAACAGGGCTCCAAACCCACTGAACCAAGAACTTCCTCCCCCCTCTCCCATTCACATTGTAGTGTCGTCCCCTCCCATCCACCATCACTCGGCCCGTGTACCCCCCTCCGCCGCCAGTCCCGTAAACCCCCTCGCACAAATCCGCGATCTCGGTCGGGGATGTTGGGTCCTCCCCTGCGTACCAGGCATTCACCAGAGGATTGGAGGCGAGCTCGGCGAGCTCGTGTGCGACAACGCTGACCATTCCATCGATGCCCACGGCGCCGTTGGGCGGGTGCATGGGCCCTGAGGAACGGCCCATGTACGAGGGGATCGCGAACGGGTAGGCGCATACCTCTGGACACTGCACCGTGGAGCTGCCAATCCAGGCGTAAGGGAGGGTGTAGCCGACGATTGAGGGGAATGTGAAGTAGTGGAACCCGCAGACTGCCCGGCAGAAGTCCTGCATTCGCACATCCTCCGCCGTCAAGACGAGGTAAATCCCATTCTTCGGGTCCACCGGCAGCGCACCTTTGCTCGCCTTTACAGCCTCCCGTATAATTCTCTGCACCGACAGCCTCGTCAATGACTTCCCTTGCGAGTACCCGACGTCAAAGTGCTCGCTCGCAACATTCACGTTCCCAGACACATTCGCGCCCGTCTGATCAGTGTAAAGTCTCACCGTTCTCCACCAATCCGACACCGAAGGGGAGGAAACAGCACCGCCCGTCGAAGGAGATAGAGAGAGAAGGAAATCTTTGATGACTGAGCGGTGGCGAAGCGGCCAAGCACCATACCAGATGGTGTAAATGTTTATTTGAGATGACAGTACAGGACCCATGTGGTATTTCAAGTCTACAAACTCGGACGAGCCTTCATATCGTTTTGATTCTGTGAATGCGGCGGCGTCTCCTGTGGTGGTGGTGCTGTTTGGCCATGGGCGCCAGGCTTCTGATGGGACAGAAAGGAGGAGGACGAGTGATGATAGGAGGAGGTGGATTCTGGCCATGGTTTTAGGCCTGAAAATAGACACTCCGGTGATGATTCCGTCGCGATTTCGCCGGGACTGGGGATTGAGCCAGTTACCGGAAAATGGGATTCCGCCGAGTGGGTATGGCTGTGCTGTGATGGGAGGCGGTGGTTTATAAAGAAGAGAAGCGCGCCGATACTGTGTAAAGAGAGGGAACGTACGTGGAGTGAGTTTTCTCTTGACCTTGGTTTTGTTGGAAATATCTAAAGTGGGGTGGTGCTTTTGCCTGGTTGGTTTGAGAAATGACGAAAATGCCCCGAGTTACGGTGTGGTGTCATTTCTCCGGATTTATGTTCTTTTCCGCGCTCTATTTGTTGTGTTTTGCTCTTTTAGCTTTTGTTGTTGTGTTATTATTATTTTTTGAAAGAAGGTTAGCATGAAGCTTAGGTCCTATCAAGGGTTAGAAAACTAAAACGATATAGACTATCCAATTCTTAGATGTTGAGATTCAAGTATTAGAAAAATCAAATTCTATTTTTTTTTAGAATAATCATTTAGTAATGTTGAAGTGTTTCGTAAAATTTTAGATTGAAATTTATTTATTGAAAAACTCAAATTCTAATTTTTTTTAGAATAATCTTTCAGTAATCCTAAAGTGCTCAGTAAAATTTTAGATTGAAAAAATCCTCTCTGACCGAGAGAGTGGAAGTAATCTACATGATAAAGCATGTATTTGTGCTCCTAATATTTACCCAAACTGAATGCTCCTCCAAATCATTAGAATTATCTATTTATGTCTATGTTAAATGTAATCACTGCACACTACCATGCTGGTTAGGAAAATCCTAAATAAATAATCTTGTTTTGTTTCTCAATTTGTCATTTTGCTTGCACTATTTTGAATCGGTGGATTCCATGATATGCTAGTAGTCTCTATCAACTATCTACTCGGAGACAGCAGTTAATCCTCATGAGAGGGACGGGCATCTTAGTACTTCCACTTTCTTGGGTGTGTACAGTTGTAAATACCTGTTTGGCATTTACTTTTTTGGAAAGGGTAACTCAAGAGATAGTGTCCGGCTGTAAATTGCCTGTGGACAGCTGCTAGATGGGAAGCGCGTGGGTCAGGCTGCCGCCTACTGCTTTGATTGCCTGATGTACCACCCTTAAATATCTCGAAATATCGTTTCTATCCTCATCCTTAATCACTTACGTATTACCTCTAGAGCTCTCAATATCTTTTTGGTACATAACTCAAACGCCCCCCCTCTTCGGCTCCTCCCTGCCCTAATATATTTCAGGGGTGGTGATGGGCTGAGCCCATTCAACATCCTTTATAACACTAGGACCTTGGCCATAAAATGTAGCTCGAGGGCTGGGCTAGGGTGACTAATTACGGCTGAGGTTAGGATCGAGTCTGGCTTGGGTTAGGGCTGACCTGTTTTGGCCCAACTTGACCCTGATAGGCCTAGGGTTAGACATCGACTAATACCTCTTTGACCTAGTTATGATCGAGCTAGGCATAGTCCGGCCTTATGGGGACAAGGGTAGGACCATTGCCTCTTTGACCTAGTTATGATCGAGCTAGGCATAAGCCGATCCTACAGGAGCAAGGGTAGGCCCAACCTGTTGCTGGCCTTACTATTTTTTAGACATATAAATAGGACCTAAATTGTCTCCCATCCGCTTGAAGCAGTGTTTTAAAACCAAGTGATTTTTTTATTTAGATCATTAATCTGGATTGAGGCATGATTTTTTATTTGGATCATCAATCTGAATTGATTTGGATCACCAATCTGGATTGAGGATCGATCGACTTAAACGTGGTTATGAAATGGTATCCGTCCTACCCCAATTCCCTTAAAACCGCCATTTCATATATATTTTTATTATCTAAGCTTATCTACTATATTTCTTAGTGCCACTCCCCCTCCTCAAAAAAAAAGACCTTTATACCTGCGTCCTAATACTTCTAAAGATGGCTCATAGGAAATTTTTGCAAATGAACACGAGGACAAGGATATACACAATATATTTCTCTTAACAAAAAAACATTTTTATAGATCATCAATTTGGACTGGATTGTTGATCTAACAATCCGATATGGACATATGGGTTGAGCGATCTAACCCAACAATCTGAGTTTTGAAACACTCATTTCAAGAATTATCGATCCAAAATCAGTTGTTTGGGTTAGCATCGGTAGATGACCAACTAGTTTTCGTGCAAAATTGTTAATTGAGTCAGTTCATTTTGTTATTGATCTCTGCAATTTTGTTAGGACGATTGGCAGTCTGTGTTTGTGCAGCTCTCACATGATCTAATTTTTTTAGTTTAATTTAATTCTTTATAGTTTTTAACATTGAAGAATTGGTTGATCCGGATCTGTACAGTAGGGGAGTGATTGGCGCATGTGGGGCCTTATTTCAGAAATAATGAGCAAGATGGGGGGCATTTCAACATTCATTCCCCTCTTCGAGGTCCGCTCGGTTTTGGCGAATTTATATTTCAGAACCACCTGGCCACATTTACGGGGGAAAAGTTCGAAATTCACTAAAGAACAAATACCCGCCGTGCAAAATATAGTCCCGTGGGACCGCAGTGTACCTCTGCTCACTCGCTTAGAAAGCCTACTAGGAAGAATTTCTTTCAACATAAAACTTTGGGAACTATCTAATAATTAATAGATAATTATTATAAAAAAACTAAATCTAAAACTTGAGTTTTTAACCATTAGATCTCACCCCTTAAAAATTGGACGAGTCTATATTCCATGTTGACACATTTTTTTCTCCTAGTACATAGAGTGAAATTAGAAATTTTTTACCCAAAAGATATTCAACTCCTTGGGATTATTCATTTTCTCCCTTTAACACATAGATTAACCTCAATAATAGAATTCCTTAATTGCACCCTTTAAGCACTTAAGAAAATAATTTTTCAAGATTGAATAGAAATCATCTAATTTTTAAAGGGTGAAACCTAAATATTTAAAAACTCAAATTTCAAATTTTTTTTAAAGAATAATCAGCTAGTGATTATAAGGTGGTTTACCAAAATTTGAAAAGTTGAAAAATTCCTTCCAAGTACGTCAACTGACTGACCAAGGGAGTAGAAATATAACAATATACGCGCTTTTTTATATATTTTTCTTTTGCTAAAGTTAATGTATAGATTGAAATGCTAACGTGTGGATCGAAGATATTACACGCCCCAGAATTTGACCTCAGAAAGTAAATGGACAGTGTACTCCCATGGGGGTACAACATCTAATTTGGAAATACATTGAAAATGAAATGCCTTGTGCGTGAAATATCGCACGTGACACTTTCCAGATGTTCATTCTTCCGCACAAGCCTCTTAATCATAAACACGCTATGGAATGGACGGTTCAGATTGGATCCCGTGCCCACATTTTCAAGCCGTCCGTCGTTTAACCATCTAGAAGGGCTCGGGTTGCCCTATGTTGTCTTTAATGACGATTGTATCCCCAACTTTTGGCTGAAAAAGACAAGAATAGCCATACTCAAAGTGGTGGTCCCATAAAGACATAAACCCATGATTCCAATGATGCATCAGCTTTTTAGCTGTTTTCCAAAAGGCAGGGATCAAACTGTCTATCAGAAAAAGGAAAGGGGCAATTTCAACCCATCAACCTTTTCTAACGGGGATAAATGACGCCTAGTAAATGACCAAAATACCCATGCCGTTTCCCATCATTTCCCGCCCATCAATATTGACTATGTGGGTAAGGTTTAAAAGATAAAGGAAAGTAGTTTTCATCCTTCACAATTATGTAGGGTATTTTGGTAATTTTATGTCACATGATAAAAAATAAGATAATATATTGAAAAAAGTTTATATATAGTTGCGACCTTTAAAATGTAGAATTATAAATATATTTCAAAAATCCATAAGAAAATATTGCTTTGATGTTGAAAAACTCCTTAATTAATCTTCTCAACATCAAGATATATAAATATGAAAATAAAAAATATTTTGAGTCTAAAAAATAATGCATCTTCCAACATATTATCTAGACCTTGCATTTTCAAGATTCTTATATATTTATAGATCTATTTGATTTTAACCATTTTTTTAGTTTGAAATTTTATGATTAGCTTAAAAAATAGAATTTCAAATAATCCTAAGAAATTTTTACACCAAACTTGCATGACAAAATTTAAGGGTACGCCCTAATTGGATTGTTTAAGGTTGCCACCTTATAGAAACCACATCCTATATATAATGATACTATTTAACTTTAGTACAAGAAAGTTACAATTACTTAAAAACATAAGATGTAAAATATGATAGCTTGAGACAAAGTTCGATAATTTTTTAAATTTTTTTTGAGTTTGATCAATCGAATAAATGCAACCACCCGGTACCAAAAATAAATACTCATACTTTTTCATAAAAAAATAGCTTTATGATGACATGGAGAACATCTTACATAGCGTGGACATCCAATTATTTTTTGAACATACGGTTGTGCCAAAATATTTATTTGTTGCTGAAGTGTGGCTTGCATAAGACTTTTGATGTAGAACTACGGATGCCCCTCAAAAATCCATCGAAAAAGGTAGTTTTAATACTGAAAAACCCTTTGATTGATCATCTTGACATCGAGATGTATGACTATGAAAAATAAAAAAGATTTTAAGTCTCATAAATAGTACATTTTACAACATATTATCTATACCGTCTATTTTCTAGATTTTCATATGTTTATAGATCTACTTGATTTTAACCATTTTTGTAATTTAAAATTTTATGATTAGATATAAAAATATATTTTGAAATAATCGTAAAAATATTTTACATCAAAATTATATACCATGATAAAATTTGAAGGTGCACCTTGCCTCTAGACCTACGGATGCATCCGTATGCAAATTGCACCCTCTATATATATATATATATACCTTTAATGTCTACACTTTATC